AGTAAATAACTGAAATTCCACTCGGGAGAATTGGAGACTGATTTAAAGAGTTGATCTCAAGCGATCTGACACAGCTGTAGACTGGCAGGCAGGCCTGCTTTACGAATGGGGGCAGAGGCTATTTTGAACAAACTCTGTAAGGCCAAGATTTTAAGAGATTTACGTGACAAGCTCTGAAAATACCTAAATCCACTAATGAGGGAAGAAACTGTAACATCTTTTCTAGCTGTTTGAGTCTTTTCAGCTGTACCCATGCACAAGCTACCAATATTAAGGACAGGAGTACGTGGTTGAGCAAAGGGTTCTCCCTTTGGTGTTCCTAAGCCCGGCTTGCTGTGGGAGATCAGCTGGGTGTCATGTCCAGGATTGCCAGGTGTTTATCATGAGGGAAGCTATGGCAGCCGCCTCTATCAACTCATTGAAAACAACTTCCCAGTCCGGGACACGGAGTCTCCAAAGCACCGCCCCCACCCATAACTCTTCCCTGGGAGCACCATTCTCCTCAGAGCCCTTACCAGCAGCTGTTGTAGCTTCTTCACTGCGTGGCTTCCCCTCTTCCCAAGTGCCGGGTCTGCAGACCTTCCAAGAGTAAGATGAAGCCTTTCCTCTTTGAACTTACTTGGGAAAATATTTTTCCCTTAGCTAGGTGCTATGCGGCAGGTCAGTATCCCCGTTTAAGGAGCTCCTGATTTCTGCCAGGTGCTCTAAGTGTTTGCTATTTTGCTATTTCTTTTTCTTTTCTTTCCTTCATATACAGTATGCCTGATTTATGTGGGAAAAGAGAGGAAGTCTTTGGCTTCCATTTCTGTAATAGACTTTGATTGAGTCGAGTACTTGGTTTCTTTTTGTGCTGGTAATGGCATTTTATATATTGAGAATTTATTGCATTTAAAATTCATTAGTGTGAGAGGTTTTATTTTCAACTTTTGTATCTTATTGTTTAAATGATCTCTTGGTAACATGTTGTTGGGTCTGTTTTTAAAAGTTCTGAGAGTCTGTATCCTAATGAGAGCATTTAGCCCATTCATATTTATTTTATAATTGGACTTAGTTGGCCATCTTCATATTTTCTATTTATATACCTTCTTCTACAGTTCTTAAAACAACCTTGTGTAATATGTCAGCATTATTACCTTCATTTTATTAATGAAGACACTGAGGGTCCAAAAGGTTAAGTTGGCTTACCTGGATCACAAGGCAGACAAATTACCTAGCTGGGGTTCAGACACAGAGCAGCCTGACCTGCAGCCCTCCTCACATACACTGACTTATTTCTGACACTGTGTGGTGTAGGGAGGTAGAGAAAGTTTTTGGAAAAAGTGTCCCGGGCTCTTCTATATAAGAACTGCCTTTTAAAGGTGTTTGTTTGGCTTCTAGGGAGTCCACTTCCTTTAACCCAGACACCCGGAAAGAAGATACTCTTGGCTCTTTTCAAAAATAAAAACTTGATTTTTATATTCATCTTGACTTCTCAAAAGTGCCTGGTCACTCCCTTTCTCCTTTTTTTCTCCCTTAATGTCCTTTTAGCAATCCCCCCATTTGTCTCTCTCTCCTCCAACACCCACCTCAACTTTTGTCCCATTTCTTCCATTTTTTGGGAAGATTTTGACCATTTTTTTAAAATTTAATTTTATTATGTTAGTCACCATACATCATCAGTTTTTAATGTAGTGTTCCATGATTCATTGTTTTCATATAATACCCAGTGCTCCATGCAGTATGTGCCCTCCTTAATACCCATCACTGGGCTAACCCATCCCTTCACCCCCCTTCCCTCCAAAACCCTCAGTTTGTTTCTCGGAGTCCATAGTCGCTCATGGTTCATCTCCCCCTCTGATTCCCCCCCCTTCATTTTCCCCTTCCTTCTCCTAATGTCCTCCATGCTATTCCTTATGTGCCACAAATAAGTGAAACTATATGATAATTGTCTTTCTCTGCTTGACTTATTTCACTTAGCATAATCTCCTCCAGTCCCATCCATGTTGATGTAAAAGTTGGGTATTTATCCTTTCTGATGGCTGAGTAATATTCCATTGTATATATGGACCACATCTTTATCCATTCATCTGTTGGAGGGCATCTGGTTTCTTTCCACAGTTTGGCTATTGCGGACATTGCTGCTGTGAACATTGGGGTGCATATGGCCCTTCTTTTCACTACATCTGTGTCTTTGGGGTAAATACCCAGTAGTGCAATTGCTGGGTCATAGAGTAGCTCTATTTTTAATTTTTTGAGGCACCTCCACACTGTTTTCCAAAGTGGCTGTACCAACTTGCATTCCCACCAACAGTGTAAAAGGGTTCCCCTTTCTCCACAACCTCTCCAACATTTGTTGTTTCTTGCCTTGTCAATTTTTGCCATTCTAACTGGTGTAAGTTGGTATCTCAATGTGGTTGTGATTTGAATTTCCCTGATGGCTAATGATGATGAACATTTTTTCATGTGTCTGTTAGCCATTTGTATGTCTTCTTTGGAGAAGTGTCTGTTCATGTCTTCTGCCCATTTTTTGACTTGATTATTTGTTTTTTGGGTGTTGAGTTTGAGAAGTTCTTCATAGATCTTGGAAATCCTGTTTCTATGTGAGAACTTTCCACTTAGGTGGCCTCTCCGATCCTTCTAGATTAAAACTCCAAGTAGGCTAAGTCTACCTTTACACAGACCCCATCATTGGCATTTCTTTTTGAAAAAACTTGATTGAATTAGAAACATAAATTCAAACCAGCATCTGGAGTCTTCAGAGAAAACTCATGAGAAAATATTAGGTGTAACACAACAAAATAATTACTCCAAATTGGTCTGGTTAATAATTGGTAAGAAGACTGTCTTATTTATATATATATGTAAATTAGGGAACAAATCCAAGATTTAGCGCCCTCTGAGATAATTATCTTGCCTTCCCTGGAACTAGTTTTTATGTCCTCAGGAAAGATCTATAGCTCAAATAAGCAGCAGGAACAAATTAACTGCCAAGAGCTGTCCTCTCAGTGATGCTTTTGATAGCCATGTTAAAATAATTATAAATCTATTAGAAAGTGAGACATCACTGATTTGTTTAAGGGTTTGAGGTAAGAGATTCTAATTAAACTATGAAAATGCCTTCTGTGGCCCATTCCATACTATAAAATGTAACTTGATTTGAGTCTCAAAAAAAAAGGCATCCTTAAAACAGTCCTTTTTTCAATGATACTTGTTGCTTTCCCTTGAATATTATTAGAGCCTGGCTACGAATTGGAAAAGACCAACACTGAGAATTTAAATTATCATTTTATATTTTTATAATTAGGAAGAAAAGATGGATAATTTCCATAGAAGATGTGAATGGAAACTTAATTTTATGGGGAGTCTAGATTATCACCATTCTAAATAATTTCCCTTGCTTGCTACAACTCTTAATAAAATGGGTTAGCTTATTTAGTAAATTGAATGACCTTATATCTATAGAGTAAAAGGTTTGATATCTATTATCACTGGTTTATATACACTATTCTCTTCCTCCACTCAGTGAAATTTGATGATATTGAATTAGCTACCTTTGTGATTGTGTCAAGCGTAAACAAAGCTATATGTCCATAGCCCAGAACTGTGTTCCTCTCTGGCTTTTTCTAGCCATTTTAGTGGTCCTCCACATTTCTACGTTGTCAAAATGAACTCCCTGAATGTTGTCTTTTGATTTGCTTCAGACTATAAGAGTTAATCAGAATTCTGCAGTAGGCCCTGCATTTTCTGCATTTCAAATTTCTGAGGGGCCTGTTCTTTTTCTATTGCTTCTATTAATACCCTGCACTAGTGAAGGCCTCTCTACTAGGCTTCCTTTTTATATAGAAGAACTTTTGATTTTTCAAACACATATCTGTCTTGTGCCTTATTCACTCAGAATTTTATTCTTGGTTATTTACTCTGATAAAATTGTTCCTTCAGTAATGCAATGTAACTGACAATGATGTCGTGGGTTACTTCATAATATCTTAATTTTAATTGAGACCACAGGTGTTGTAGTCTTAAAATGTGAACAACTGTGGGAATTTTTACACCATATTAAAGTTAAAATCCTTCTGGTGAGGAGACTTTAGTACCTTCCAAATCGTCAGATCATTTATAAAGGAATTCTTAGTGAAATTCGTAATTCAAGTCCAGGGCCTCGCTGGAAAAGTTCCGTGACGCAATTGGCAGGAATTTGGAAGCAGGGTGCATCATTAGGAAGGGGTGCTGATGTCTTTCTCCGCCCCCCCTCCCATTCTACCGCAGCTGATGCCAACTTCAGCTGCAACAAAACTTCAAATGCACTTCTCCAGGTTCAGTAGCTCCTCTTTCTAGTGGATGGCAAGGTGTAAACTCAGCTTTCAGTTACAGTCCCTTTTAGTTCCTGCTTCAGAGGTGTTGACCAGAAGTGTGGTTGCAGATTCAAGTGTGCTTAAATTTCCAGGAGTTCCTTCAGTTTTTGTTAATGCACTTCCACCTCTGAAGATTTCTAGAATTTGTTTTCAAATTCCTTATTTTCTTCTTAGATCTACCTTCCTGTATGTTTCTACTTGAATTTAGAAGTCTATATTCCTTTTTTAAGATTTTATTTTTGTCAGAGAGCACACAAGAGCGCATAAGCAGGGGGAGGGGCAAAGACAGAGGGGAAAAGCAGACTCCCCGCTGAGCAAGGAACCTGATGCAAGACTCCATCCCAGGACTCTGGGATCATGACCCTAGCTAAGGGCAGGTGCTTAGCCACCTGAACTCCCCAGTCGTCCCTGAAGTCTGTATTCTTTATCAGAATCATAACCCAGTAAAATAGTCAATATAGTTCTAATGCTCCAAGGGTTCTGCAATTATCTCTCAGATACAAAATATTCTGTGTATCGTGAACAAATATCCTGATTAAATGCTTATTAGGGGTACTCGTCTTCTGTTTTAAGTGTTGATTTTTTTTTTTTTTTTTACAAATTACCATTTCTAACATGTTTAATATTTTCATTCTAGCCGTTTATAAATGTTGTTTCTTATTACCTCAGGTGGAAGAGGCCCTGGAAGCTGTCAAAAATGCTACAAATGAGCAAGACCTTGCAAATCGCTTTAAAGAGTTTGGGAAAGAAATGGTGAAACTTAACTATGTAGCAGCAAGAAGACAACAGGTGGGAGAAGTTTTGGAAATGCTAGGGGAGAAAATGTGTGTTTAACCTCCTAGCTTGATAGGTCTGAACAACAGATCAGCCTCATCTGCTGGTGATCAAGTATCAAATGCCCTCAGAACCTGTGATTAACAAAGGCATCACAGTTTTCTACATGGGCCAGTTTTCATACCACTGTGGGCCCTGGGGTACTCTCTGGCCCCTGCCTACCTGGAGTAGGTCACAGGCCTCCTGCTTGACTGGTAGGAACCATGCTAACCTTTTTTCCACTGTAGGAAAAGCTCCCTAGTTAAAATATCAAACTTTGGTGTGGTGCTATGGATGCTGTCTGGACACCACCCCTTTACTTGCCCTAACTTTGTATTTCCTAGCCCTAAAGACACCACCATGCATATGCATAGCCAAAATGTGCAGCATGTTGAGTTAAACCTTTATGAAAGATAGGAAGAAAATGCAAAGAAAATTCAAGGAAAGGCAGAGAGAAAGGGGTGAGGTATGGGATAACACAGGTGAGTGAGTTACTTTGAGGAAGGTGGCTCACAGGGGATCTTGTGTCTCCCTTTGTCTCAAGATAGCACCCTCAATTTTATCCAGGTCTACTCATTAAGTACCATTAGAATTTTATTCTCAAGGGGTGGGCTTTTATTTTATTTTTTCCCTAAAAAAACCTCTCCAAATCTGGAGGGGTCCGTTAAAATCCTTTCCACCCATCCTCTTGACTGTTCCTAGAATTCAACATTTGGGGCAATTCCTAGTGCCTTAAGATTGTCTGTGACCAACCAGGAAGTTCCATTCAACACCCATGGGTTGAGTGTTCATCAGTGACAGGCTGAAGGAACACTGGTATTATAAACCTGGTCAAGATCTAGTTCCTGCCCCTAAAATGCTTACAGTATTCTTTGTGTGAGAGGCACACACATGTGATTTTAGATTACATAGTGATATTTAAGTATTTTGTAATTAGCAAAATTCAAGTGAGATCTTGTGTAATAGTCCAAAGTGTAAGATGGGTGAAGGAGTGAAGTTACTCCGAAGCACAAATGTGAGACCAAAAAGCTATCTAGCTTAAACAACTGAAAAAAAGAAAAAGAAAAAAAGACATTTAATCTTGATCTTAGTGAACAAAATGGGCAGTTGGCAAGAAAGGTAGGGGCCTTTGTCTCCTATGTCTCCAAATGAAGGACATTCAGAGTCTTGGAAAATTTTTGGATTTTATTGTAAATGGGTGGGTAGAATTTGAGTAGTTCAAAATTTGGTATCAGGGTCTCAAACTTACATTTTAGTATTTTTGATATGTTGAACACAAGGGAGTGGAGGAAGAGAGACCATCTATAGTTGGGAGGGGCTGATGTCTAGGTGAGAGATGGTCTTGATGAGTTGGTAGTGGTAGAAATGGAGAAGATTTCAAAGAATCAGTTTATTTTGAAAATAGAGCTCTGAGGACCTGATGTTAAATTGGATGTGTCTGTTTAGGGAGGGATAGCAACCTGTTCAGTTCTAAGGTTCTGGTTTGAGCAATTGGGTAGATGGTAGTGAATTTATAGAGATGGAGAAGACTGGGTCAGTTGGGTATAGAAATTAAGATTTCATATTTAGATACATTGATTTTTTTTTTTTTTGAGATCCTTGAGCTCTCCATGTAAAAATGTCAAATAAAAGAGAGGGTTGGAGATGGAAAAACCAGTCATAAGTATATGTAGTTGGGTATTAAAATTGATGGGAATATATGAGATATTTATGAGAATATATATCTCATATATTTCATTAATACCTTGTTTTTAATTAACTGCTAGACTCTTCCAAGAAAATTTAGAAAAGTAGAATTGGAAGTGGGAAAAACACATAACACCCTACCACCCAAGGAAAAAAAAATGGTGCAGTTTTGGCATATTGCCTTTCAGTTATTTATCTTCATATTTTAAAATACTTATAATCCTACTTTTCATATAAGTATGAATATTGTTCTGCTTTTTCATTTATCTTATATTATCCATATTTGTTGAAAATGAATTATAATATCCACAGTCTACCAAATGCTTCAGTCATTTACTTAACTGATTCATAATTCAACATTTAGATTGTTTGCAGGGTTTTTTTTTTATGTAATTAAAGAATGTTTCCTCAGATAGTTTTATGGAGAGAATTACCCCATCCATCTCTCACTTCCACATTTAGGTTTTTCTTTTATAAGTATAATGTAAAGTAACATCTAATTTCTGGACCGCTCTTATGGAGGTTAAAAAGGCCCTTCATGACTAGTCATGAGAAACCTACTTTCAATGCCTAGATTATTGCCTGGCATAGAGAATACACTCAGGTGTTAGTTTCCTATTTATGTTCATGTTGAGGGCTAAAAATAAAAAAAACCATATCCTATTGGCTAGCATAAATTTGTCGGTACATAAGCAAAAGAGGATAGATGGTTCAGTTAATTATTATGTACTGTCAATTTATCTTGACAATCCTGGGTAAAATATAATGTGCTTGTCTCAGAATTATTTTGACCAATAAAAGAGAAGATGTCATTGTTGCTAAGTCATTTATATAGGACATACCAAACAAACAAATAGAAATTGAACCCCAGTGGTTCAAGTAACCTTTAATGATGTTTTGAAGCTGGGGGGGAAAAAAAAAATCCGAGATCCTCAGCTGGCAATCCTATATGGTCTCCGAGAGCAGCACTGCCTTTAACATTTCCATAAATGATGTGAACATTTTCTTAACAATACTCTTTAAAGCTGAAGATCAAGAGACTCCCCAGTGGTGGTATTTTGACAGCCAGAACTAGGAAGACAAATCATCTTTGATCTATTTTTATTCCCTATAAGCTCAATGATTGAGCTGCCATTAAAGGTAGCTTAAAAAAAAAAAAAAAAAAAAGAACCCTATTCCAGAAATGATAATGCAGTGGCAGTGATGGACTAAGCAAAAATCAGAAGAGTCTGATTGCCCTTGTCTGTAATTGTAATTGAAAACGGGGGCAAGCATTATCAGAAGACTGAAGTTTGGATTTTCCATCTGCTGCTAATGAACTCTGATACATGCAAGCTACTGACAGTCAGTAGCTTTTCTTTTTCTTTTTTTTTTTTAACCTTTTTCCCAGCAATACTTGAGTGCCTCTTATGGGCCAAACAGTGCTAATGAGTAAAGAGCCACTAAACAAGATAGACAAGGCTTCCTGCGATCACTAGACACAATACATCAGGGAAATGTGTTGAAATAAATACAGTAAAGTTTAATAAGTGTTGATAGGAGGGGGTAGGGGCGTGTGGGAGCAGATAGAAGGGGGCATAGCTTAGAGAGCAGGATGGAGCATGTTCCAGGAGGATCGGCCATGTCGTTTGAAAGGGTAGATGGAGGAGGATTGCTCAGGTATTTCATGCAGAAGGATTAAGTGCAAAATCCCAGCAGCTAGTGTGAGCGCCAGGGAGAGTAGATGGTTTCTAAAATTCAGTAGGGTTTCTAAAATGGAGTCTGTGACCCTAAGTTCTAGAACAGATGCTTCTGGGGCGAACTTGATGGATGTGCCACGTTTCCTATGTTGTGTATGCAGGAGCTGAAGGACCCCCACTGCCGGGATGAGATGGCTGCCGCCCGAGGGGCTCTGAAGAAGAACGCCACAATGCTGTACACGGCCTCCCAAGCCTTTCTCCGCCACCCGGATGTTGCTGCCACGAGAGCCAACCGAGATTATGTGTTCAAACAAGTCCAGGAGGCCATCGCTGGCATCTCCAATGCTGCCCAGGCTACCTCGCCCACCGATGAAGCCAAAGGCCATACGGGCATCGGGGAGCTGGCTGCAGCTCTGAACGAGTTCGATGTAAGTATCTGAGTGATGCACGTGGAGTGGTACCCACTTGCCCTGACGGAAGGGATTTGGGGATGAAGGGCCTCAGTAGTACACCTGGATTTACCCCTCTTGGAGGCTTGTGATAGTAAGGTGAATGACCTAATGTGTTTGTTATTAGGAATCCAGCATAGTGGCAGAGCCTAGTTTTCTTGCATTGAAAGGCTCTAACAACGGTGTTTAAGAGGACCTGATCCAATGCAAGCAGAAACCCTGTGAACTGTTAGTTTCCTATCCCACTGGCTATTTTAGGGACCGTTCATCATTTGGATGCTTCTTTATTTTTAAAGGGGCAAACGTCCTAGGCAGTATAGGTACATCTTGCCTCTATGTTGCACGTGGGTGAAGAACTGCCCTCTGTGTCTTCATTTTAAATCAGTGATAAACTGTTGCCCTCTGATCCCACATGGGATCCCTGTCTTGCCTGAAGCGGCTCCTCTGGGTAGCATCTGTGTTGGACCCATGAATGACCCACATGCTGCACCGACTATTTCTGGGGGTGTGTCCCAGTGAGGCAAGCAATGGGAGGATGGCATCAAAGTGAATGAGAGGGATGCGTGTAATCAAGACCCCAGGATGACAGCCCTCACTTGCCTTGGGTCAGGATATGGGCCCACCTAGGGGAAGCTGGAATTCATCTGAGTTCATCCTGTGTTCAGTGTGAGAGCCTACGTGTGTTGGAGAGCTACCAGGATTTAAAGTAATCTGTATCTGTTTTCAAGGGTTCTCTTTTCCTACAGGGAGATGGGAGAAGTAGAATGTATTAAATACCTTTTAAGTGATAAAACACGGCGTTATAAGAATTCATAAAAGAAAAATAGGTTCCTTAACAGCTGTGGAGAAAGATGATGAGCTTGCTTTTGGATCTGTTGACATGAATTTTTCGCAGGGCATGAGTGGCTGGGAAAGAAGATCAGGAACAAAGCAGTGATTGCTAAAGACCTAAAGCGGCAAGATACAATGGGGGAATAATTATAACACTTCAGATAGCCATTTGCAGTTTTCCCAGGGGGATCTCCTCTTTTATTTTTTGTTAGTCAAAATATCCATAGCTTAGACTGTATACTCTTTCCTAGGGTTTTTTAGTAAGGATTAAATATAATTTAAAGCATTTACCACAGAAATTGGGGTTTAATACATAATTCACAAAGTGTCAGGAGGCAACTGAAAATCCATTGTAACAGTTCAGTAAGGTTATCAGTTTTAAAATATAAGAGAAGTCAATAGATTTCCCAGGTGCAAAAGTGTAGAGTAATGGAAAAACAGATCCTGTTGACGAAAATTAGCAAAAATTTGTTGGCTTTATTTTATTCCTTAATTTATCTCCTTATAAATGTTAGAAATAATCCTGATACAGATGCGGAAGACCAAAAAAAAAAAAAAAACTACCGAGTGGTACTTTTTGTACTTTTGGTTTGTTTTGTGCTTAGGTTTTACAATAAAGTTGTACTTTTTGGTAAATGATGTCATGATCCTGGGTAGGAAAACTATTGACTCTTAATTTTTATAATGTTCAGACAATTCCGATAAAAATTTTGACTGCTGGGCGCCTGGGTGGCTCAGTCGTTAAGCGTCTGCCTTCGGCTCAGGTCATGATCCCAGGGTCCTGGGATCGAGTCCCACATCGGGCTCCCTGCTCGGCAGGAAGCCTGCTTCTCGCTCTCCCACTCCCCCTGCTTGTGTTCCTGCTCTCGCTCTCTCTCTCTCTGTCAAATAAATAAATAAAATCTTAAAAAAAAAAAAAATTTTGACTGCTTTTGCAACTTGACAGAGTAATGATAAAAGTTTATTTCTGGAATAAGAATGAAGAAGCCCAAATTTTAAGGAAATGAAAATGAGCAGGTGATGTACTCAGATATTAAAACATTATAATGCTACATTAATTTTAAAAGTGTGCATTAGACCAAAAAATGCCTAATCATTTAAACAGAATAGAAAATTGCAAAACAATCTCAAATACAGAATTACTTTATGAAATGGTACTTTTTAAAATTCATTAATAGGTGAATTATTTAGTCAGATTTTGACACAACTGTATTTTTAAAATCCTATCTTATAATCAAAAAGTAAATAAAACCTGTGAGGACCTAGTAATAGAGTAGAAACATAGCATACAGAGAACTCACCTGAAAGATAGTCAGACCCTTCAGCTGCTGCCGCCTTCTACTGGAGTAGGATAGCTTCCCCATTACTTTGTATCCAGAATCTTTTCACTGAAAAGAGCTTTTGCTCAAAGTGAATTTAACAATTGAGTCATCATTGTAATAATACAAAAGTCTTTGGACTCATAAAGCTTAAGGCCATGTGGGGAAAATCTGTTAACAGAGTATGTTGACATATATTAAACTTTCAACTGGTATTTTTGTTTTTTAACTAGCGATATGCTGGACAAATAGGGCTTTGGGAAGTTAATACATGAATGTAACTTTTTTTATAGAACATGGCATATTAACTAATCACTATATCAACTTACAATAAGTAATTTTTCTTTAAGTGTATATGTTAACTAATTATATATTAGCTAAATATATTAACCAAGTAATATTTCATTATTTAAATGTATACAGGCTCTCAAGCTATGTAAATTGCATAAAACATTATCTGATGTTTAAAATTTTATTTCTCGGATGTTGACAAAAATCAACATGTGGAGCCAGGTAAATTGGTAATTTATAGATAGTAATTCCATTTGGTGTGGTTCCCTAAAAATTTAGTTAATGAAATTTCAGTAATTTCTCAAACATAGTAATGCTAGTAAAGTATTACTATGACAAGGTACAAGGTAATTAACCAATTGTAGATTTTCTATCACCTGACACCAGCAAACCTACATAGTCCTTAACGGTACTTGAAATTCTCTCACTAAAAAATAATGTTCTCCTTCTCTTTGTAACAGAATTATACATTTCTGTTCTATGGTTGCATAATGAATACTCTGGTATTCCCCCCTGCCCCCCGCCCCAGGCGTATTGAGATTCGTTTAGAATTCAGGCATCTGTCTTGAATCTTAAGTGCTATTCTCAGATATTAAACAAATCAATACCACACTGGGTGGGAAACTCATTCAAACTTCCTGTGACTTATTTTTTGGCAATATCCCTTCCCGATGCTTGGTTTAATGGCTTGCCAATGTAATGGAGATTGTAAAAAGTGAAGTATGTTTGAGATCCTGAAGTGAAAGGAGCCGTAAAAATACATGATTTCATCATCAGCATGGCTAGCATGCTTCCTAATGTTGAATTTGAAACTAAAATTTCATATTAGTCGTCAGTGTGCCAAACTCATTTTAATGGGAGGTAGGATGCAGAAGTGACTTAAAGTGTGATAGTTGACTGAGAGAAAGGTAAAAATTAGTATTTTTACATTAATTTATCTAAAATTACAGGACTGATTTTTCTATCTGGGTAGTTAGAATTATGGCTTAATGCATGGTGACCTATTTTCTGGCACTATTCTTCTGCCTACGTGAATAGTTGATATAATGATTTACGAAGCAAGAGAATGAAGAAAAAAACCCAGTATTCTTAACAACTAGAAACTGTCAAGAGAGTCTCTAATGATAAAACAGCAAAAAGAAAATGATTGCTAATCAATGGAAAAATCAGCCTCCGTTTAAAATGTGGCAGCTTAAGGTGGTTAATTTTATCTGGTGAAACTACTAAGGAATACTAAAAAGAATTTGTAAAAATATAATGACTACTCAGAAGTAAATCCTATTATAAAATTCTATTATAAAATTCTATTATAAAATTCTATTATAAAATCCTATTATAAAATCCTATTATAATGTCAAATTTGACTGCCAGAAAACTTAAGAGTAGGAGAGAAGAAAATTAAAAAAAAATTATTCTTACAAAATTTCTATTAAAGAGAACATATACTGTATCTTGTTTTTTTGTGGGGTGGGGAGCACAAGCAGAGGGAGCAGGAGAGGGAGAAGCAGGCTCCCCACTGAGCAGGGAGCCCCATGCAGGGCTCTATCCCAGGACCCCGGGATCCTGACCTGAGCCAAAGGCAGATGCTTAACCTCCCTTTTGTTTTCTCTTAAATCCTGTAATAAACACTATCTCAAATTCCTCTAACTTTAAGTTTCTATTTGTAACTTCTTTTCCCACTTGCCCTGGGCATTTGCTTGATTAGTAATTCTTTTTTTTTTTTTGTACATTTAGTTTCTCTTTCTCCACTTGTTCCATCCCCTCAGCCTGTAGAAAAATATATTTCTGTTCTACAGCCTAGAAAGAAAATAAAGCATAAGGCTAGCATATTTACCATTTTCTCATATTTTACTATTTTCCTTACAGAGTTCTTTAAGATTCCAGTCCTTGCTTGCACATACGTCTTGGCTGCCACTAGCTCTTACCTCTTTGAGCCTTGTCCTCTAACCTCTACTCCTGCCCCTCCTCTGTAACACTGTGTCTGAGTTTTTAAGGACCCCTAAATCTATGTGCTCTTTTTTCTAGTTCTCAACTGTTTCAACTTAGGAATGGGGAAATCTTATTTGTACTAACTGTACTTTTTTTCTTTGTATTACTTCGAATTTGCAAGATTTAAACATCTGTACTTGAAGACTAAGACAGCCTGGCCTCAACCACATTGAGCTGAAGTGTCACCATGACCTACCAACTCTACATAAATTGTCCTTCCTATTTCTACCTGATTTTTTTTTATACCCTCCTCCCTCTAGTTTGTTTTCTTCCCTCTCCTGCACACCCTCCCGCCCCCACTTCTTTCTTTTTAAATAGATTTCCTTGATCTAATTGCAATTCTTGTACTGATCTAGTATTCAGTGGATAGAAGTGTTGGAAGGTGAGCATAAGGCATGATGGGGCATATGCATCACAGGCCAACAGGGATAGCAAGACTGTGCATCCATCTGACAAGGTTAGGGGACCTAGGCTAATTGCAGCAAGGGGAGAATTGTCTCCTAGAGAGCATCTCCATGCTACAGTGGTCACTGCCCTTAGGCTATTCCAAGTGTGTGCTTATCTCAGGTGTACAGATACATTCTAGAAGCTCTAGTTGGAAGAACCTGGTTAAGAAACAGGAGTCCAGGTGGTATCTCATTTCATAGCAAGATCCCAGCCCATTTCTGGAACATGGAAGTTTTTGGACAGTCAAGAGTAAGAACCTGGGCCTAGGGTTTAGGATCCAGGGTTGGACTACAAGCCCAGTGAGAGCTGGATT